AAAATGTATCACCCTATAATCTATCATGTGGGTTCTGAGAATAGACCGTGTGTCCTCTGTAAGAGCAGTAAGTACTCTTACTGGCAAAGCCAGGTCTCCATCCTTTTAAATTTATATGACTTTTACTATGTATGTGTATCAGTGAGGACAGGTACACATTAATGCAGGTGTTTATAGAGGCTAGAGGAATTGGATCCCACTGGAGCTGGAGTTACAGGAGGCTGTGAGCTGCCCCATGAGTGCTGGGATCTCAACTTGGGTTGAACAATATGGACTCTTAGCTGCTGAACCATCTCTCTAAGCTGTTGATGTGTAGACATTGAAAGACTCTTCTTTGATCCTTGAAGTGAAACCAGCTTGATCATGATTTTTATCATATTTCTTTTTGTTTGTTGTTGAATTTGATTTGCAAGTTTTTTGGGTTGTTTTTTTTTGGTTTGGTTTTTCGAGACAGGGTTTCTCTGTGTAGCCCTGACTGTCCTGGAACTCACTGTGTAGACCAGGCTGGCCTCGAACTCAGAAATCCACTTGCCTCTGCCTCCCAAGTGCTGGGATTAAAGGCGTGTGCCACCACCGCCTGGCGATTTGCAAGTATTTTATTTATGACTTTTGCATGCGTGTTCCTCAGGAAAAGTGGTCTATAGTTTTAATATTGCGTCCTTATCTGATTTCAGTACTGGATCATTGAATGAGTTTGAAAGTGTTCTTTCTATTTCTATCTTATGGAATTCTTCAAGGATTTGACTTAACTTTTCATTAAAGGCCTGTTAGATTTGAGCAGTAAATGTGCGTGGTCCTGAGCGCGCTGTGGTGGGAGTCTGCCATCGCTCTACTTCATGTGCGTGGTCCTGAGCGCGCTGTGGTGGGAGTCTGCCATCACTCTACTTCATGTGCGTGGTCCTGAGCGTGCTGTGGTGGGAGTCTGCCATCGCTCTACTTCATGTGCGTGGTTCTGAGCGTGCTGTGGTGGGAGTCTGCCATCGCTCTACTTCATGTGCGTGGTCCTGAGCGTGCTGTGGTGGGAGTCTGCCATCGCTCTATTTCATGTGCGTGGTTCTGAGCGCGCTGTGGTGGGAGTCTGTCATCGTTCTACTTCATTGCTCGCTATAGACCTGCTGGAGTTGTTTGTATTTTCTTGATTCAGTTTTGGTGGGTTATTTTGCGGTTTTTAGTTTTTGAATTATGTTTTCAAAGTATCCTCTAATTATCTTGAGAATTTATTTGTAATCTGCTTGATGTCTCCCTTGTCGTCTGTGCTTTTATGAATTTAGGCCTTGTCTTAAGAGTTAGTTGATCTTGTTTATTTTGTTTTTCGAAGATCCGTTAATGCATTTTTTTCTAGTCCTTTGATTTCTGTTTTGATCCGTTTCTGCCTCTGTCTTTCTTTTCTGTTTTTTTCCATGCCTGCCCTGGGCTTGACTTGTTCCCGCTTTTGCGCCTTGATGTACATCACTAAATGCTTGGGAGCGCTCTGGAGGTTCAGTGTGATCTCTCGCACGCACTTAGTCTTTCCTCTTAGAACGTCCTCTGCTGTTGGGCTGCCATTTTCATTTGATTCTGGGATTTAAAATTTATTTTTTTATTTTGTGCATATGGGAGTTTTATCTACATGTGTGTCTGTGCACCCAAAAAGCCCAGAAAAAGGCACTGGATCTCCACTGGGACTCAAGTTGCAAATACTTATGAGCCTAAAGTAGGAGCTGGGAATAGAGCATACATCTCCTGGAAGAGCAGCTAATGTTCTTAAATGAGCAGCCATTTCTCCAGCCACAATTTATTATTTAAAAAAAAATTTCCCTGATGATCCCTGAAACCCACTGGTTATTCAAAAGTGTGGTGTCCAGTCCCCCATTTGTTTGCATAGTTTCTGTCATTTCTCTTATTGGTTTCTAGTTTTATTCAATTATGATTTGATAAGTTGTATTTTTTTCATTTGTAGATACTTGCATTATGGTCTAAAATGTGATTTATGTCAGAGGAGGTTTCATAGCCTGCTCATAAGAATGTGTGCAGAAAAGAAGATTAATATTCTATAGTCGGTCATTTGGTATATAGTATAAATTGACTCTGACATTTCTTTATTGGCTTTTAGATGGATGACCTCTCTAAAGATAAGTGTTACATAAGCTGTCCACTGCTACGTTATCAAGATCTACTTCTTCTTCTATGTATTTTAATATTTGTTGGATAAATTGAGAGCCCCAATATTTGATGCATACATATCTACAATAACTCTGTCTTCTTGGTTAACCGTTACCTTCTTTGCTATGTAGTGACCTGCTTTGTCACTTCTGGTTAATTTTGGCTTGAGGTCTGCCTTATCAACTACTAGAGTAGATAGGCCAGTTTCTTTGGCGCTTCCACTTGAGGGTGTGTTGATTCTCATTCTTCACTCCCATCTGTGTCTTTGCCAGTGAGGTGTGTTTCTTTTAGACAACATATAGTTCAATCTTCTTTTGTTTATTTATTTTTTTAAACCAAATCAGCTAGTACAGACCTTTAAATTGTAGAGTTAATATTATTTACATTTAGAGTTTGGTAATTTCTGTTGTTTCACTGGTTGTTTTCCTGTTTGGTTGTGTTGTTCTTTGTTATTTTCTTTTTCCATTGTATCAATTAAGAGTTTGGAGTTAACTAACTTGGATATGATTCATCATTGCCTGCTTTGCTTTTATTCATCCATCTCTCTTATAAATTTATTCTCTCCTGTGTTATGATTGATAGTGCATTCCTTCTCTCTGATTTGAATTCATCTATGTTCTGCAATGCTAGCTTGGTAGTAATAGATTCCTTTAATCTTTTTAGGTCTCAGAATACCCTTATCTGCTGATTTTAAAAGCTAGCCTTGCTCTATAACTTTGTTAGACATTATTTACCTCAGGGATTGAAATGCACCATTCACGTGCTCGTGACATTTACTTCTGTTGAGTGCTCTGATGTTATTCACAAGTGTTTGCTTTTGTGTATCAGTTGGCATCTTCTCTTACAGGTCTAATATTGTTCCTTGTTCTGTGTTTTTGTCATCTTGGCCATAATAGGTCTCTAGTCATCTCTGTATAAGACTCCAAATGTGCACGGTGCTTGGATGTCACTGTATTTAGATTTGGGGAGTCTAGGCTATAAATCACTGACTAGATTTTTATTTATTTATTTATTTATTTATTTTGTTTATATCTCAGTTCCTTCTTTTATCTAATGGATTCTTAGGTTTAGTGTCTCAATCATATCCCACGAGACAGGAAAACTTTAAAAGCCCAAATAGCAAGCTAACAATACCAACACCGCAGAAAACATGTGTAGGAGAAACAGTTTGCTGAAGGTTTGAGTATTGGAGCCGTCCAGGTGCAGGGTCAGGGAGCTGAGGCTTGAGCCCTCCCTGTTTTGTGACATGAATGGGTGCCAGGTTCCTGTGCTTCTGAATCACTCAGTATTGTCTTCCCTCCTCCATTTTTCATTCTGGGAATTTGTCTTTTCTTTAATTTTTGTTTTGATTTGCTTATTTAAGGGTATATTAATTTTGTTGCACTATTCAAAAACCAACAATTTGGCTTTATTGATTTTTCTCTAATGACATTTGTTTTCCATTCTATTTTTCTTATGCTCTTTTAAAAGATGATTTATTTATTTGTATTCTATGTATGTGACTGTTTGTCTGCATGTTCACTACATACCTGGTGCCAAGGAGGCCAGGGAGAGTGTGTGATCCCTTGAACTGAAGTTATAACTTAAGTTCCCTTAATGGCTCAGCCATTTCCCTGGCCTCATTTTCTATGTTCCTTATCATTCTTTTAAAACTTTTTTATGTGTATGTCTGTTAAATGTATATGCATACATTTATAAATGAAGGCCGGAGGTCAACATTAAGTGTCTTCAGTTGCTCTCCACCTTGTCTTTTGAGACAGGGTCTTTTGCTGAACCTGATGCTCACCAATTGGCTAGTCTAGCTAGCTACAAACTCCAGGGATTTTCCTGTCTCTACTCATCCTATGCCCTGTTCCCAATGCATGTGATCATTCCCAGCCTCTTTACATGTGTGCTGAAGGTCCACCCTTGGGTCCTCATACTTTTGTGGCAGGCATTGTAACTGAGTCAACTCTCCATCTGGGTCTTTCTTAATACATATTTGCGTTTATTGTTCTTAGCTTCTTAAGACAGCATCTTTGGAATTGATCTCAATACTTAATGCTTTATAAAACAAGCATTTAAAGTAACTTTAAATACTGCTTTACCAGTTTTCACAGATTTTGATATATTTTAATTTCATTCAAATTACTTCAACCCAGGATACTTCCTAATTCATTTTGCTTTTATAAGCCGGGGAGAAGTATGGTGGTGACATCTGTGGATATTTCCTGTTTTCATACTTGCCATCTCTTTAATTTTCTATTATCTTTGTTATTTAAGATGCTCTATAAACTATCTGCTTCTCATCTGTAGTTATTTTAACAATATTTTAATTGTATTATGGTCAGAGGATATATTTTGCATTTTATTCCTTTAAATTTATTGAAACTTGTTTTATGTCTTACCATTATAGGCAAATGAATATTAATGTATAATCAAATAAATGTTATCTTTCTGTGTGTAAAATGTTTTATATATGTCAATTATATTAACTTGATTAATAAGTGTTTTGGTCTTCTGTACTCTAGTTAATTTTCTCTTGCTTTTGTTATTTATTGATCTGTCTTGGTCTTTTCTGAGATAGACTCTCACTTTGTAGCTCAGGATAACTTGAAAATCACTGTTGCCGAAGCTAAACTTGAGTTATGGCAGTGTTCCTGCCACGCACACACACAGAGTACACATACACACCACATA